CGAGAACATGCTTTGGCTCCTTGCCTCTGCCGTTCACAAATCAGCCTATTATCTGAAACACCGTCCCTATCAGTTTAAGTTAATATGTCAGCCCCTAAATTACAGCAGCGGAGGAGCCAGCACACATTTGCTTCTGCTGTCTCTCCTCCATGGTGGCCATTTCTGGCAGAGTGGCAGAGTGGACAGCTGGAGGTGGTAGCTTCTAAAGCTACTCTAGCGTGCGTTGCCAGGGCTTGTCATCTGTGCACAGTGAGAACTCCAGCAAAAGTTGTTGCGTGCCTTTACAATTTCAGTCATTGGTGAGGTGGCAAAATCCAGAAAAATGATACTGGCGCAGCACAGCTTATCGAGGGAACCTCATTTAGGTTCCTGCAGTAGCAGGGAGTACAAAGTCTTCTCCCTTCTCTATTCGATTGGTGTAAACAGTTTCACTGTTTCTAAAACCAGTTTATGGTTAAGGAGTCCTACACTGCTAACAGCAGTTCCCACATGGTGAAGTCCTAAAGTACAGAAAATTGCCCTGCATTTTTGTAAACTTTTCTCGCATTCACTTTTAAAGACCACACAGCTCAGGAGTTTTCAGGAGGACACTGGAGGTTTCATGCACGTATATATGATTCAGGCCTGAGATCTGGGAAGAGGCGTTGTTCCAGTCTGCCTGCAGAATTTGCCATTGCTCCCCCATCATTTGGAGGGGTGGTTTATATGCAGACAGGCCAGGACAAAGTGGCGTCAGTGTTGCCGACTTCCTTGCAACTCCCTGAAGACAGAGCAGCAGTTTTTACTGGAGTATGACTCGGGACTTGAGCTCTAAACCTCATTATGCCGAAATCTGGGTAAGCTTTCTTTTTAAACAACGGTGTTCCTTTTTCCAGACTCCCTTTGCATTGCCAGAATGAAGCTGATTATTGGTTGCAATTATTTCTGTTCTGTGTAATATTCACCATGGCATGTAGCAGAAAATACTCTATCTGCATCTGTTTTATAATTCAAACACTAGAGGACACCAGTCTGCAGATCCTGTGGTAAAGAAATTAATTATGTAGCGAGGACATGGGCAGCTGAGAAGGATGCAGTGAGATTAGGTGTCATCATTTCTGTACTGTCGCCTGCCTGTGAGCATGGTCACTGGGCTTGGGATTTTTTCGTTGATATTATTTGATTCAGCTGAATCTCTGTTTAGCCTTTTTCTTTTGACTGGAGAGGCAAATGCTGTTCCTTAAACCTCTCTCTAAACCTCTAGCTACTGAGTGGCATTATTTATAGCCCAGGCAAGACTGAATGGCTTATAATAATGGTGGGTCAAGCCTATAAATCTTTATAATTATTGCCAGAACTATTGCTGCCACGTTGTGATGTTTATACAAAAGCTCTGAGAATCTTTAATGGTTACTCATTAGCTTTCTTGTCTTTCCTCTTTACTGCCCCAGTTCACTGCAATGGACACTTCAACTTTTTATATATACAAAACCGTGGAAAAATTTCTTACCTAGCTTAGTTCCCCCTCAGTTTCTTCACGTTAGCGCTTTGGAGGGCCCTTTCTGAGGCAAGCCACTTCACGCCGCTGGCATCCGAGGCACCCTGCCGACTGAAGCTGCAGGGGTGGATGGCCAGGAGCCAGAGCACTGCTCAGCACAGCCCTGGGGCTTTCTGGGGGCCCTACGGCTAAGGCCTGTCAAGTACTTCTTGATGTGCACCTGCTTAGTGATGGATTGATGCCATGGGGTGGTATATTTGATGTATCCATGAAGGTATATCGCCAACGACAGCAGGTTTGAACGGTCGTTGAGGGTACTTGGTGCTTTACAGGGAACGGGGTTGCCTGTTGTTTGATCTGAAATACCATTGCAATCCAAAGCCACCCAAATCATCCTCGTGTCTTGCAGGTTTGTGTCGCTAAATGGGCTACCAGCTGCATAACTGATGATAAATCTCGCTAGCACACTAACTTTGTGGCAGTTACCTCAGCAGAAGCAGCTTACCAAATCTGAATGCTGAGGGGAGAAAAAAAAAATAATTTGTTTGGTTTTCTGCTATTTTTGTTCTTCATTTGCAGTGCATTTGTGTCAATGAAGCATTCCCTCCAGAGACAATTTGGGGTATTTGGCCAAGGGGTGTCTCTGTTTGGATAGAATCATGGTGACATTTGGCCGAGTCCTGAAAGTTCAAGTTGTCAAAATACGAAGGAGCTTACTACCTACGGATATTAACAGAAAGACTGAAATGCTTTCCAGGACCAGAGATCCAGAGGTAGAATTTCCACATGGCTTATGTGGGAATGGGCTTTGACCAGACTTCCGACTCTGGGATGAATTTCCCCTATTAGCAGAGAAGGCAATGGAGTCAAGGGGAAGAATAGCTCTGGCTGAGGCCAGTCTGGCTGGTCCTGGAAAGCAGAGTCCTGCAGCTTTGTTGTCTAAACCAAGGAGCACCAGCAGAGGGTTAGGTGCACAATAGATTGTCGCAGAAGCTATTGCTCTCTACAATAAGGAAATACTTTTTTTGGCTGAACTAGCCATTCCCCCTCCAGCCTCGTAGCTGGTGGCCCTCCACACAGACTCAGTTTGACAGTGGCATTTAAATGGCTGCTAAAAATGTGGCCTTAGAACTTTTTTGGCTTTGGGGGCTGGTCATCTTCTGTTGCAAAGGTCACAGGCTGTGCCTGGGAGTGGGATTCCCTTGTGTCTTCAGAAATGTGAGAAGCCTTTTTGGCAGCCGATAAGGATGCTCATATGTCTTTGGGATTAAGTGACTTAAGTAGATTTTTGGTGCTAATGGAATTTTCTTCTGACTCTAATCTGCAGGAACTGTGGGATTTTGTCTTCCTCTGTAGCAAGAAGGAATTCTCCTATTCCTGTCTTCTTGCAGCTTGTTGTAGTTTGTTGGATTTGGTGTCCTGTATGACAGAGACTAGTAGGACCCCACTGCATGGAGTTGCCAGAGAGGTGCAAGATAAAAGTGTGTAAAATCTTGCATGGATTGAACAGTGGCTGTGCATCATCCATCATAATGCAAGAACAAAGGGAACACCGAATTACACTGCCTGGTGGCACTCTCTAAGTGGAGTCCTCTTTCATACAGTGTGTATTTAGATGAAGAACGCACTGCCGTGGGATGCTGTCCATACCAGCACGAGGGGAAGAAAACCCCGTGGAGGGCTGTTAAACACAAAGATGCTCAAAGAGTCCTGTGCCCTCTGTAGTAGCCTTGCGCAGGCATGCGTTACGGGCTCCTGTCAGAGACAGCTCACTGGGTCAGATAGGGGTTTGAGCTGACGCCAGCTTTCTGCAGTTCTTCTGTCTTAAGTTAGGGGGTGTGGGTAGGGGAGAGGATCTCTGGCTCCTGCTAAGACTACCTGGCCCGAGCAGGAGGTCTAGAAAATGAGCAAACCACAATGCATGGAACACATCTTTTATTCAATAAGCAAGCAAGCACAGAAGTATAACGTGTAGTGCTTAATATTCATACAGTACTAAAAATATAAAAATAGAAATAAAATTTCACTGAAAGCATTTTCACTCACAAATATACAAGGAAAAGTGCTGTCAAGCCACATCATGCTACACCGCTTGCCAGTTGCTGAACTGACAGTTAGTTTCCCAACAGAACTGAAACACTAAAAATCTGCTAGTCCTTCCTCATGGCTTTTGGTGAGCCTGAATATTTGACTAGCAAAAATGGGCCTCCTGCAGCTGAGAACCTAAAAAGCATAGATGTCATTACCTAACAGAACAACAAAATAATTCTGGAGAGTTTTATAGTGATGGTAGCCTGCTTCAGGCTGTTTGTGTACCTGTTGTAGAGAATAAAAAAAGAGACAGAAATAAACTTGAATCCTGATTATAATCCAGACCAGTCACGGCTAACAATTACTGAAACTGTATTCGGCATGAATATTTGTGCAATACTCCCACCTGGTGGCATATTTTTAAACTCTTTTCCTTGAGTGCTGCCGTCTCCTCTGCCTGCTTAACACTGGCACGTGTATTCAGCTTCCACTTGGGTCTGGTGGGGTCCAGTAGCACAAACCGTAAACAGCGCTGAGCACCCTTAACTTTTAGTGGAACTAAAGGATATCCAGCACCTTATCTTCTCTTACTCTATCTGGCGGGTGAAATTCACATCTACGCAGGAAAGTGATTTGGGTCAGAGACTCCCGATTCCTCAGGATAGACCCTGCACCAGATGCCTTGCTTTTAAGCCCCATTTTGAGGGACTGAATTAGAGTTGGGGGCTTAAGAAGCTTCCGTTTGCTGACCTTGGGCATGGAGCTGCACTTCATCTGGCAGGAAGGCAGCCGTGTGCTGTCCTCCATGAAAGCATGGGAGGGTTTGGGGCTTAGAGTGACAATCACAGCTGTATTTCATAAGGAGGCCTGTCTTGCAGAGTATGCCAGTGCACGGAACCTACTCAAATTATACAGATAAGGGTGTGCAGAACCTAATGCGAACCCCACTTTGATCAGTTACTATTTTGGAATGGGATTTATTTATATTTGATATACCTGCTATAAAAATAAATGTGACAATTAACCCCTGAGATCATTCTAGCATACAGTTTTGGCCTGTTACTTGTTTCCCTCTGAAATAATTTTTTATTTGGTTTACGGACGTTTATTTAGGTTCTAGTGAAAAGCTTTTATAAAACACATTAAATAATCAATGTGGGGCTGAAAAGGTGTACATTCTAGTTGCATATATGATGCATACCTTATACGTATATAATACATTCCGTAACAGCTGAATATTCTAGTATTGTCTAGGAAGTTCTTGCATGTGAACAAAGGATTAAAATACTAGAAGATAAACAGCTGTTTAGGATCAAAGATAATTGTATCTGATACGGTTTACTTAGATTGTTTTTCTTTCTTTAAATCTTGTTACACATAATAGCTACAGTAGTTTGTCCAGCAGGTAATAAATGAATGCATAAAGCACTTCTAGCTATATTTGGATATCGTATGCATGCATTTTTTATAAATAAAAATCAAATGTGAGGTCACATTTTCCCATCTTCTGTTTATAAACTAAATCAAATTTCTCATTCATTGAAACAGTGAAGATGTCTTTCCATAGCCCAACTCGTCCTGAAACACAGAGAAGGAACACAAGTCAGAGAGCAGACATAACAGGACACCAAATATCTACAGTCTAATTGTGCAGGGCACCAAGTATCGTCTGTGAGATGCTAATCAGTCTTAGCTTTCATTGAAAGCTAAACGAGACCTAAGGCTGTTCACTGTCTTACCCAATTCCCCTTGCAAAGCCTTAAAATTAAAAGTACTGTACACTTTGTCATCTGCACGAGGCGAGTACTATACTGGAAGAGTTCAGATTTTTGAGATTTTGCTCTAGCCTTAATCAGAAATGAATGCAGATTTTGGTTTGGGTATTCATTTAAAAGGGGATTTCTGGTTTCAGTGCAAACTGTGGCTGTTTAGTAATTCCAACAGCTAACAGCAATACATTTCAAAATTACTGTGCCTTCAGCATACGCTGGTTAGAGAACTATCCAAAAGGTACATGGAATGCGGCGCTATTAAACTGATTACTGAATCCTGATTATCAAGATGTAATATTATCATTACCGATTTATATTATTTTCTCTTTAAAGATAAGTTCAACAGATGAATTTACATTTCTGAATGTGGAAAGAATTATTTGTTAAATATGAGTGCCACAATTATATCTAGAGAAGAGAACAAGTGCCATGCACCCAGTTTGTGCCATTCAAATTTTAATTTTATACACGAGGAATAGGAAGCTTTTGGTGGATGCAAGATGGACACTGAACGCTTTTTCCTTGTATGGAGTATTCTTCTGCTCTACTGAACCCAGCTAGTAACGTAACCTGATGACGCTGCCGAACCCACCAGGCAAAGGCTGCGGCCCCCTTAACCACTGTTTCCCTGCAGTCCAAAACTTATTTAACTCAAAGTCAGCCAGGGTTACTTGTTGGTGAATAAGCCCCATGGAGTAATCAGACTGAGAGGCCCAATCCTCTTCTCTGTATTGGATATAAATAAAGACAAAATCCAGGGTTGTTCAAGTGCAATAAATGAAAGGAGAATTGGGACTATGCTACCAGAGACTCTTATCATAACCGCAAGATCAAAACTACATGCAGGGAGCTTAATTATGCACTTGATGCATAAGAAGAATATCCATTTAATTTAATTACCATTGCTTTTATGCAGCAACTCTGTAACTGAGTCCAAAGACAAAACTGTCTGGAACATCTACAAATGACATATTAACATGACGGTGTAGTATGTGCGGCAAGGGCCGTTTTATGAAATCAGGATTTTCCTACAACTCCTGAAGGTATGATAGTGTTCTGGTTTGTTTTCAGGAACCAACAAACAAAAGAACCTGAAACTGACTGAACATGCACCATTTCTTGTTTTCACCAAATTTTTCCTGTACCAAAAAAACCCATTAAGAAAACACTCACAGTCATAAACATCTGATACTGATTTCAATTTTTCTCTGGCAACTATCATTGCATAAAGTATAGCACAAAACATAAAAGACTGTATTTGCCTTTCAATAACGATAATAAAACATTTTCTTCCTCTGCTTGGGAAAGATAAGCCTTTTGTTTCTGAGTCTCCCTAACAACATGTATGGACAAATGACAAGTTTTATAAAGGACACACACAGTGGATTATTTGTAACATCTTTTTTTTTTTTTTTTTTTTTACCATATGAATTGATAGCTTGTCAAAAAGTCACCCACCTGGTTTATGATTTGAATCATGCAACTGTGTAAATTATGATGTGATAAGAGTCAAATGTAAGTAACATATCTAATCATTGTTCTGCTTTCACAGCAGCTCAGGGTTATCTTCAGAGTAAAGATCAATGTGCTAAAAGAAAAAAAAATGAAGAACTAAAATAAAGCAAAATAATAAAGTAAATGTAACTAATGACAAATTAAAAATATTTGAAACAAATTACAATAAGCTGTCATGTTATTGCCACCATTCTTTGTCACAGAAACAAACAGAGAAGGAACAAAGCACTGTTAATGAAGCTGCATTCTGAAGTAACAAAATATTGTAAAAGCCAGAGACAGCAAACAGAAGAAATTCAAAATAAGGGTATTTTTAATAAAAAGCACACAGTGAACAAAGGACAAAATATTACATTAACTGCTGTAGCTCCCTGCCTGCTCTATTACAAAATGGCAGCTTCTTTTCAAAATATTTGTAGGCGGTACGAATAAGAGGCTCTGACCCTTGACTGGGGGTTTGCAGGCTCCGCTACAGAACGACAAACACTAACACCACGTACAGAATGGTGCATGCGGCAAAAGCGGGCATCGCCCTGCTGATCTGGATGGACGTGCAGTGGCCGGCAGAGACAAGGGGCTGACCTTTCTGCCTGTGGAAGGTCTCACCAGCAGCTCTGTTCTCTTTTTCTCTTGTATTACGACCTCAGCTTTCCTTCACAACTGCCTTTCTGGCTTTCACTGGACAAGGAGAGGCGGGTTTGGGCTGTGCGCAGCATGTGGAGTACTGCTGCCCCACAGATCTCCAGATCGTGGAGGTCAGGAGCAAACCTAAGGGTTTTGTGTTACTTCTTGCAAGTCAACGGAAGACAAAGCAGCTCTGTTGTTTGTAAAATCTTGTGCTGACACAGAACACTTTAATCAAGGCCCTCAGGACGTCTTGCCAGACTCATTGTTTTGTGATCTTGTCTTCATAGCAGAGAAGTGGGTTGGTGATCAGTTAGGCAAGGTGCCGTAAAATCCTACTGCAAATGAGAGGGTCTGTTGTTTTCACACAGGATACAAGTTGTATTACATGCTGAATTTTCAGTTTGAAGTAGTAACAGAAGGGTAGGATGAGAGTTGAAAGCAAGCTAACTAAAAGCAGGAAAACACACCATTCAGAGGAGACTCTGCCAGAAACTACAGGGAATATATTAGGTCTTTTGCTGAAACGACAAACTCCTTTATTGTCCCTGGAATTTTACCTCAAGCCAGCAAACTTGAGATACTTATTTCAAAAAGTCATCATTTACCATAACATAAGCGAACCGGGGCAAAAAGAGGTGCCATAGCACAGTTATGACAGAGAACTGCCCTTATGAATCTGGTTTCCAGGTCCTCCTGTAATAACTGGAGCATGTAGCCCCACATAATGTACCAAGAGCCTTTCAGTACCAGGTGTGCAAAGTCGCAGATAAAAGCAAGGAGGTGTGAGCAATGGCTTTTTTCCAAGTATGACACTCTGAAATGTTTGTCCCAACATACAAACAGGGTAAGTTATCCTGGGTCAGTTACTCTGACGATAAGTCTGAGCTGAGTCATGGAAAATTGGCATAAGGCACTGCCAAGAAAGACGTAAAGGTAGTATAGAATACCAGTGAACCCGCTTTCATGGGAAAGCAAACTCGCTCTCAAACAAACCTGACCGAGTGTTGGTAAGATTACAGTTTGACTGATTAAAGGTGAATGCAAAGATACAATAGACTTTTGTAAGGTGTGTGATTTTAGTGTTTTTAATAGAAGTATATAATGTCAACAAAAGGCATGATAAGTGAATAAACAACTGGCTAACTTAAAATTAGTAGTCAAGAAGGACTGATGATGTTTGGTATTTTTATGAGAGATTTGAAAATAATTATAAAAATTACAGCTGATAAAATCTGCAGATAACAACAAGGTTGGCTGAGACAAGTAGTACAGAAAGGGTTCCTACGCAGAAACCTAAGTATTCAGGTCATGCTCCCTGAGTAAGGGACAAGAACCTGCAAATTAGTTCCTCTGAAAAGACTTTGTGGTCATGATAAACAACATAAGCTTCATGTATGATGCTGCAGCAAAACATGCTAATGTGGCCATGGATGGACAAACAAGGGAGACAGGGAAAGAAAGTTCCAGTTAAAACTGGATTAAATCAGTAGATACATTTGTGACGGCTGACATAGGAATTCTCCATCTTGATCTTATACCCTCATTTTTAAAAAGAACTGTTAAGTGCTGTAAAGCAGCCTACAGAAAATAATTTGAGGGAGACTTACTGAGGTCACTCTTATGCTTATCGGAAGGAAGACTGAGAAAGGACTTGATTTCTTGACGTTATCAAAGGACAGATGTATCAGCAGTTTAAAGGGCACTTCAGGTTCCTAGAGAAAGACCTCACCAGAATAAACATCTAGAAGCTAAACGCATTTTAAACAGCTGACTTAGACAATGAAACGAAAAAGCTCATAAAGAAAACTACAGCTCCCTGTCATTTGATGCCTTCAAATTAGAATTATCTGCTATTCTAGAAAATCTGATACACTTAAACACAAGGGCTTAGGCCAGGACAAACTGTATGACATTGCGTGGGCTTTGACATGCCAAAGGTCAGAAGGAGCGGTGCCGTCTTCTCAGCATGAACAGCTCAATCCGTTGAAGTAAGCCAAAGACTAACAGAGTGGTTTGCATGGTGTTGAATACACACTGTTGATCTTGGATACTTCCATCCTTTTTAGTCACTTCTACCTGACTTTATTTCAAAACAAACCAACCCCTAAATTGCACCAACAGTCAAGTTTCCTCCCATCATTTACGTAGTAATATTTTGCCAACATCTTAACACATCCTGGCAGTTACTAAGTTGTCAGTTGCTTCTTGCAACTTCCACAGTAAGAGTTTTACTGTGGGTTTTAAACATACCCCTGCCAACGGGAAGTGCTTCTGCATTACAGCACTGATCAATGAGTTGATGGCAGTGTTCCACCATGGATTCCAACTGTGCTTTGTCGTAAGAAACTCCTAAGAACCTCACCAGTTGCTCAACCATTGTTGCTAGGTCCTGTAAGAGAGTATTTAAAAATAGTTTATTTTACAATATTTTAAACGATCTTTTTAAAATGAGTTTAAGTGTTTCAAAATGAGTTCTATCCTGATGAGTGTGAAAAACACAAATACAGAAGTAGAAACCTCACTGTCTTAAAATTTTGCCGCCTTCCAAGTTGCTGAAAATAAACACATTCCAAGTAATTAGAATAGACAGGTCAGTAGAGAACAAGGTCATGTAAGCTCACCTCTTCAAATACTAGAACGGGGCACTGCAAACTAAGCGTGATGCTTCCCTCTTCAGACACCACCACACCCTTAACTGATCACTCTGGAAGATGAGTGTATTTTGGAGGAATTAAAAGTTACTTTGATTTTGATCTTGATAAAATAAGTAATTACAAATGTTAGAACAACCCTTCCTTCATTGTTAGCTTCTGGGTCTGCATTCATGTAGAGGGAAAGGATCTAGTGAGGTAGCCTCTGATAATAAGCAGTCATTTGTTTATATACCCAGAAATCCAGGGTTCCTCAGTATGAGTAAGACTTCTGGAGTTGCAAGGAAGGAGAAAACAGCAATGTTTATCAGGAAGCAGAAGGATACTGTGAGACCAGCTTTCGGCAGCATCTGTCAGTGAGCACAGCTAGCAATACATCATTATTCAAAACCATGGGTTTGAAATCATTTCTACTAAACTTTTTTTTAATTATTCTGATTGTGTTACATCTCCTTTTAGCATCCCAGTCCATGAGAAGGCTCAGAAAAGCTGAAATTATGATTTACTCAGATTTATTGAGTTCTACCCTGATTTTGCCTTTTTGTAGGTTAAGAGAAAGGAGCTAGGTTTTTCCTATGTTTGCATTAATTTTCCAGTCAAAGAAACATTTTGAAGTATTTTCATTACTTCTCAAAAATATATTACTGCAGTAGGAAATGGAAACCAATGTTCTATGTAGTATTTCCACTAAATTTCTGGTTAAAAATAAGGTGGATTTATTAGCCAGCATACTGTTAGGACCCAATAATTATGTTCACCTTACACTACACAATCATCCCTAATTGTTTTCAACATTGTTTCACAGAAGACAGTTAAGAACAATCAAATAATCAGAATAAATGCCAAATATATAGGACAAAACCCTGATGATAACACTTCTTTTTCTCATTGATACAGCACACACAGCAAGACATTTCTCTTAAATGAATGCCCAGAGCTGAGTGTAGCAAGCACTGAACAGTTACACATCTCTACCTGTGAATAGTTTAGTGCCTATGGATGCAGGCAGATTCCCGGGTAAATTACTAGGTTTATAAAAAAGTGCTGAAAGTCCATAGAAGCTATTGAATGCCAGTGCTTTAAAAATTGTATCAGACATTAGGGAGCCCAAATATGTACAGAAGCAGCAATTTTTCTACTTTATGTATTTTAAGCACTACAATGCTAAATGTAATTAAAATACCTTTTTGCTACATCTAACCTACCTTATGCATATCTTCATACTTGAGAAAAAGTACATTGGCATCCATGTGATGTTCCCAAAATTCTTGCACATGTTCAAACCACGAACCATATCCTACTACAAAGACATTGTGATTGGCATGAGGAAAATGAACACTTTTGTTATTAAGCCCTTTTCAAAAAGGAAAAAAAAAGGAGAATAATAAAATAACTGGAGTGGTTCAGGAGAACAGTGTCTGGTTTAGACCATTGCCATGCACAGCAAGGAACTTAATTAAAGAAGTTTTTCTATCGGAATATTCAAAAGAATTAGCTTACCATAAAGATAAATTGTTCAACTGAAAATGCCACTGTGTTTCATGATGGACCTCTTGGAGCTCAGTATTAATAATGGCTGACTATTGAATGGAAATTGAGTCAAAATAAAAATTATGCAGATAGCTTTGCAGAAGGCAAATTTCCAGTGGCTACAACTTGTATGAATTCCTGCAATTAATGTATTACACTGCAGTTTCCCTCACTTAGAAGTTAGATATAGCATTCGTGGAAAGTTCCAGACAGCATCTTCTATTACACACCAAGAATTACTAACAACCATTGTCCTTTCTTAACTAAACAAGTATTGAGGAAACAGGCCTATAAAAATGTTTCATGGTTGTGCCCAAAAATGTAGGATGTACTGACAGAATATTCTATTTATCGTTACATCTTTTGCCCCTCCCTAAAATCTAAGACCTATTCTATCCTATTGTTATCTTCTGAACACTTCCATACAACTTCTGTAGATATGCCAGAACACAGTTTCAGTTATCCTGTTATCAGTTATCTCAATTATGCAATAAATCCCGACTACAGCCAGATGCCCATGAGGTGTTGAGTGCTCCCGAAAGCTTAGATTGATGTGATGGGGTACTTCCTGTATGTCACAAGTCGTGAGCAGAGTTGCAGCGTGCAGGGTTGCCAATGATTAAAAGCTCACGCCTCCCACCTCCTGCATGCCACCAGCAGCTTGTCTTCAGTTCCCTGTACCTGCTGCATGGGGTTTAGGACTTGAAGAGAAGCAGAGGTGCTACGCTGGGAGGGCCTGTGCTCCCAACACTGCTGAGACAGTGGTTACAGGAATCTTAACCCTGCCCCAAAAACTTTCCTCCTTTGTTTTTCACTTCTCTGATAAAGTCCACATTTGCTCTGATGTCAGTCAATTTATGTGTGTCTAGGTTCAGACACTGGTATTTATTATCTAGATAATGTTTTTTTGCTGCCAATATTACCAGAAAGACAACCCAAAGAGAAATGCATTCTGCGTATTTCTTTGTTATCAGTAATAAGCTTGCCCAAAGTACTTCAGATCATCAAGGCAGGGTTAAGCAAATACCGTGAACAATTTTTCACATTTTTTCACTTTTTCTTTTGTCAATTTTATCTTTTCAGCAAAGCAGCTCTGGAAAAATATGAAACTTCTTAGTTTTGTGTTTTGAAGCCACCTTTTCCCTTTGAAAAAGAATTGTTTAATTTTGGTAACTGGAACATTTTCAATGGACAAAGAGGTCAATTCCATAGGAAAGTTATTTTAATCAGCTGACTCATTTTCAATTTTTATAATGGTATTGGGAAAATTCCACTTTTGTTATTCCTATTCCATACACCCCTAAAGAAATTAATGCATGAAACTAACACATCAGCCAAGATTATGTTAGCAGAGTTTACCTATGCTATGTAAGAAACTCACTTAAGCTTTAGAGGATAATGCCAAAAAATTAGCACATTCAAGACTAATCCCTATTCAATGATATAGCTAACATGCACTGAATTTGTTTCAAGATGGTCAGGTATAAGGAGGGGTAAGAAGAGTGGGATTGTGTCATTTGGGCTCAGAGCTTCCCCCTCTAGCAGTACTTTGACTTCTTCTGAAGGTTTTTTTGCTACTGCATTGCTTCCGTGAGATGCAAACATTTAGCTAAATGCTAAATTTGCTGTATTACAAAACAACTCCATTTGCACAATTATGGACACAGAACATGCTGTGATGTTTTATTGACTCTGGGAGGTTGTGATAAATCAGCTAGCTGCTACAAGATGAAGATATAAATAACTCTTGGGATACTTATATGAAAAAGAATACAGAACCTTCCTCCTATCTTAGAAGACCTTCAAACGCGTCTTTCATATGTCTCCAGCCTAGAAGTTTTGGATCATGGGCTACAGACAAACATCCCATTCTCGGGGAATTGCTAAAGAAAAAGCTGAAGGTGGGCTGGAACAGAAGGAGAGCATTTACCCTCCCTGCACAAATTTGCCGGAGAAAGTAGCAAAGGTTTTTAAGGCCTGTTAAATAACTTCCACTGGTAGGCTTTTCCTTTTTTCTCCCCTTTAGAATTACACAGTTCCTTTAGCATTATACAGTTCCTTTAGCATCACCTCCTCCAAATTCCAAGTTGAAGGGAAGTTTGCTGCACTGGATCTAGAGGAGTTCCTGCTCTCAGAGCACAAGGTACATGGTGAATTCTTAGTGTCACATTAAGCTATCAGAGAGAAGATTTTGTAGAGAAATAGAAGGCAGTAAAAAAATTTTCTATTCCTAGCTAGAAAGTGTGGCAATCCACTGGCAAAAAGCCCAGTGGCAGCCAGGTATGTGAGAACACAGGGCTTGTCCTCCCTGTGAGTTTACTGAGCTAGTGCAGTGGAGCTGCTTAAGGCAGTGCAGCCTGAGTGGGAACGCAGTGGGTGCGTGTCTCATGAAAAAGCCCTCGCTCAAAGGATTTACTGGCTGAGCAGCTGATGAGTTGTGGTAAAGCAGGTTATTGTATTCTCATTATAGAGGTGTATTTTTCAGACAGTAGCAGCCTGCAGCTGCCTTCTTACAGGGGCTCACTTCAACACACTGAGGTACTCCAGATCAATCTCATGCCACCTAGAGGGGCTTGGGTGTTAACTGGTATCTTGCAAGGGACAAACTTGAGGTTTTGGATGAAATAAAAATATTAAAGGAATTGCCACCAAAAATCCCCTTGAGAAACAGGAAGACTCCCGAGAACTAGCTAACAATGAGGTACAACTGAAATCAAATGATGGTCGGAGTATTCACCATTTTTCACAAGATACCCAGTACCTTGCAAACTGAATTTCAGAAAAGTAGACCAGAGTTTTGCCTGAGCTAAGTGGAACACTGCTGAGCCCAAGGGGTCAAATATTGTAACGCAATTATTTACAAGGCATGGCCATAGTTTGCATGGATAAATATAAGTCCACGCAGCACTATCTGTAGCAACCTCCTTGCTGTATATGCAAAACAAATGCACCTTTATCCAGTTCACTTCTGTACTTGCAGAAGGAATGCAGAGATGAAAATAAATGTGTAACAGCGTGTGCAGAGAGAACAGCTCCTTACACTTGTCATTCATAAACCTTCTGCAGAACTCCTGAAACGTTCCTCTGTAGCTCATGGTCCTTAGGGAGCGGTGAAACTGGTAATAAGACACCACCAGGTCTTTGGGGTTGCGAGCCATGTATATTACCTATGATGTGGGGGAGAAAAAAGTCACCTTACTGAAAACTTTTTCCCCACCCTGTTTCCCAAAGCACTTAAACAACTGCTGCCAATGTAGTTAAACAAACATTATTTCATTTAATTTTTACCTTTGAATTGCCATTATGGAGGTCTGAAGGCAAAAACCGATATGGTAGGTGGCTTTTTATGAGGCGAGGAGATGTCAGTTCCTAAAATGAAGCAGACAAACATTTCTTATTGTGCATTAGCTTTTTGGCACATCCTGAGCTGTCCTGAACTGTCTACTTGAAGCCCTTTACTACACTGAGTCACATTCACAAATTCACTTCTTAAATTAATAGGGGCCTAGGTCTAGATATTAGGTCAGGGAGTTACATCTGGTTTTTAAATATCAAAAGGCTGGATAACGTGTTGGGGGGTTTTGTTGGGGGTTCTTTCCACTTTTGTTTTCAAACTACTCCCATTTGTAGGACCTTCTCAGGAAGAGAGTCTAATAGTTGAAGATTCTTAGTATCAAACTAACTCTGTTTCCAGTGATGCTTCCACTAAAATTCCTTGAAAAACATTAGAAGCTCTGAGAACCCTACCCCTAACTTCTTCACTTCAAAATTTTACTCTTGCAATTTATTTTATCCTCAGAATTAGGCCCAGACAATCCATAGGTTTATCTGAGTGTGTGAACATCTTTCAAACATTTTATTTTTCTGCAACTTGAGACAAAATTGTCTTATGACACAAATTATCCTGCAGCAGTTAAAAAACTGCATAAATCCATATTGGATCAAGTTGTTAGAACGTAGTATAGGTAACGATGTATAATCTCAAACTAAACCTCTTACTACTGCCACCGCTAATTTGAATCAAGGTAGCAGTGAGGTCCCATTGAACTAGGCATCACACAGATGAAAAAGAAAAGCAACCTCTGACCCCTAAATGCTCTCAGCCTGGATGAGAGCTGCAGTTGTCATTGACCAGAAGCAGCTTAAATCCATCCGTGCCAGCCTTAGCTAGCTCAATTCCACAAGCACTGTGGCTGTTACAGGATGCAGCCCCGAATTTTGCCTAATATTCCAAGAAGTAGTTACAGCAATGACAAGATCACACTTACATGCCATGCCACTAGTCTCTGAGTGGTTCTTAATAATGTGGAAGTTATTTCAAGCAGAATATTCCAACCTTCTCAGACTACACCTACAGAGTCTGTAGATCCACAGATCCTGGGTCTCTAAGGATTTAGATGTGTAAATTCAGAGCAGTGCATCTACAGATCCATAGATCTCTGTATTTGTAGTTCCTCTTTTGCAAATTCAGGGAAGGGATCAAAGCAAATTTGCCTCATTTGGGCAGCTTCTGTTTACATAAGCAAGGGAGGCCTGGAACTTTTATTCAGAAAACCCACTGCCGAGATATTTAGGACATGGAGAAACATCTAAAGCATTAAATAGCGTATAATAAAGCTTAATAAAAGCAATTTTAAAATAACCTAATAATACTCTGAATCATTCCAACAAACTGAGCAAGTCCAGTGATGAAAAGGACAAAGACACAGGATGAAATGAAGTTATAAATATGGAACTGAGGAAAAAGATATCCAAATGCTGAAAGACTTTCTCTGCGATAAATTGTACCTTGATGATGTCCAGACCAGGCTGAGGGTACTCTAGGACTGGAAGTTGTTCATCTATATTCATTAGTCCAATCTCATCTGGATCGGCTCCCTGACTCACTAGATACACCACTTCCTGCAGCAAGCCTGTGCCTGCATAAACCAAACAATGAAAGAGAACAGATTGTATTACACTTCTTATCTAAACAGAAGCATATGAAAGGAGACCTAGACTTAGAAACAATGATAACTTTTGCCCTTACAGTCTGCTGTGAACTAAGTCTGTAACTACTGTTTTAATGGAGTATGTCTCCTCCTTTAGTTTTATTTTAAACACATGAAGACCTCCTTTCACGTAAAAGACCTCAGATTTTTCTTCAGTAATAACTGAAATACATTTCTGTCTCCCAGTTGTTTTACCTGTGAATTGGAAAGCATTTTAAAAAAGTTTTCCACTGTGAATGTTACCTAGGCAAATACTACTATTTCCATTTTAAAAATTAAAAAAAATGACGCAGAGAGAGATCATCCAAGTTCACAAAATGCATTAGCAGCCGTACTGGGAGACTGCCAGTGTCCTCTATTCTAAATTGTAGGCAATTCTACTGTTATGCAATGATTTGAGAGTCTATTTATACCTCCACATTATGGACTGGATAAACCACTGAACACATCAATGCACAGTGAATTAGTCATATGCTTTAGAGGCCCCAATTACATCTCTCTCTCCAGTGCGACAACATTTACAAAACAACCATTAGATATTATAACCTTTATGACTGCACTCTGGAAAATTAATAGGTATTCCAAACAGAAGTTTGAACAGGGAAACAATTTCAAATGACTTTACCTTTAGGCAGGTAGGAAACCCTCAAAACAGGCAAACAAAGGTTCTGAGATATCTGACAGAGGCTGATGAAGAGAAAGGCACGAGCTTTTGGTGAGATGGAGGAACAGAATGAGGAGAGATCAAAGTGAATTGGCAGGGAAGGGACCCCACAGTTTAGATGACAAGTCACATGGGCATGGCACATCCGGGATACTGTGATAGACTGAACAAATATTTAAGAGTTGTGAGCAGCAAGGAAAATGAGACAGGGATTTATTCTCTCTCGTGCTGCCTAAAGGAACAAGTAATTGTTCCAGAACTCTTTACAAGGCCCAAGCCCACCTCAACATCCCAAGTCTTTGGCAAGATGAGCTGCAAACTCTGAGATCATGCCTTTTATTCCCGTTTTAACTTGAAAATAACTTGTAAGATGAAAGTAACTTGTAACAGTCACCAGTTTATTCATGTTAACTAGCATGACTGTACACACTAATAGACAGTTTTGTACAAATTCTGTAAGTTGTTCCAACACTATGAAGATCAGTGTATCATTCTTCAGAGTTTTCTTTTAATCCGAGCTAGGAAGAATTAAAAAAAGCTGATGTACTTTAGAGGATGGTTAGAGTGAACACAGTCTGGATAGAGGTGTCCAAGAATTGCTCTGGGGACTATGTACTTTAAAACTCCTCTGTTTCCTGACTGGTTGGTGGGTAAATTAAAATGGCTTGGAAAAAAAGAAACTTTTACATTTTCATTACCCACAGAGACAGCTGTCACAGACTTAATACACACTTGCCCTTAAGGCTGTTCACTCTGCATTTCTAAGTCCAAGCATGTATTTTATACATTAAAATTAACATACATACGGTACTTCAGTATCAGTCTTTGTGACTCTGAATGAGCACAACCCTTGTTTCTCATTAAATATTTATTCTGACAGGAGACACCCTGGTTCTCCATAATTTATTTCTGTATTTCCAATTCTGCCTGCAAAGAAAAATGCTATTACAGCAACCTTGTTCCATGAAAGGAAAAGGAATAGCTGCATGGGGATAAACACCACCACCAGGACTTTCTGATTTTTCGTTACTCAGCTGCTCACTAGGCAAAAAGAAGCCATCTCCATTGTGCCTCGGAATACAGGAAGGCCACAGAGTTGAGGCAGAACTATGCTGAAACTTCAGGAGAGCAGCATGTTCCCTACCAGCTCTCTACAAAGTCCACCAGGTAAGTAGGAGGTGAAGGGCCAGGGAGCAGAGCCCCCATGGCCTTACCTAGTTCTGCTCAGGCCCGCAGCCATGCGCTAGCCTTGGCTCGATTGCTAGCAGATCCACGGAGCACTGCAGAGACAGGAAACGACATATTAATGTAGGAGGCATGGGGAAGAAGGGTTCTGTTTCAGAAGGAAGTGGGCCTTTGGAAGCTCAGGAGTCTTCATCTAAATGTGCTTCCATCAAAACCAGTGATTCACTGAAAGAGTAATGCTGGGCACATGGCAGGTATGCGAGGCAGAAAATTAAAAATCTCCATCAAGTACAGGTTCTTTAAAACTGCTTTAAATCTGTGAACCTCTGTGCTAATTAATTGCATACACATATGCAAATTACTGTAGTTATGTATGTAGTGCTGCCCGTATTCCAGCATCCTATTCCAATTCACACAGCAAACAGTATTTCTGCAGTATCTCTTCTACAAAGGGGAGGATTGTGAGCTGACAGTTTAGACATCTGGCTTCTGGCCATCCACCTGGTTAGAATTTCTCCTCCCTACACCTGCAGTAGGACCACTGATCCTGAATTCTCCCACCCATGACCTCTGTACTAGTTTCCAGTTTTGTCACCCACTATATTAGCCTGATTTTCTTCCACATTAGCGCTCAAGTTACTCTGCTTAGGATTTTCAGGGTCTTAATGCAAATGAAAACTAGAGATTTAACTTTTGAGGGAACTGTGATTTTTTAACTAGTCACCTGTAATCAGTTATCATTTATACCACACATTCCCAAGAGCCCCAGATAAAAAATTATCATTAACCTGATCTCCTGTTTTAAAAAAAATCTAAACAACCACATGCTTATTTGTTTAAAAAGAGAAAAAATAGCTAAAAACCTTTATATATGTAATTAGATATATATAACCTCCTCACGTATCTATTAGGATTAAAACCAACTCAAATTACATACATGAAGAGATTTGAACGTTCTTCTGGCTTAGAAATGATGGCTTAACCTAGCAACAGACAAATGGCATCCCAAATCCCAGACCTAGCTGCTAAGGCAAGATTTTCTAGCCCCTGGGAACACCGCTGGCTGGAAAGCCAAACAAACTGGGGCACTGTACCTGTGCATGTGATGAGAGGCCCAGGTCCAGAATGGGGCTAGCAGAATTTATTAAATTTGCCACTGTGGGAGGTGAATGGAAGTCTTCTGCTGTAGCCCCTGATTCCCTATCTGCATATAAAGCATATACAAATTGGCCATTTGAAGCAATTAACCTGAGCTGATGTCTGTAGAGATGTGCAAGAACCACCATTTTATGGGTGAAAGCTAAAGTAAATTCCCAAAACTGAGATTTTCAAAGGAGATTATGGGAATAACCTCTGATAATCCCAGTCTATCACAAAAGTTGGCCCGATCTAAATGCCAAAGAAACTTTCTTAGTAAAAGGGACAATGATGATACTTGTTGGAGAGAAGAAAAAGATGAAGGAAGCTAAAAAAAAAAAAAAGGTGCAGAACTTAACCTTTATACTCCCTAGATTTCTGGCCTGGCTGCCAATGATGATTTATTGTCACTTGAGGGGTACTCACTTTTTAAGTGAAATTAAAGGATTAGGTCACTAAGTGGAAAAGCTAGCGTGCATGCATATGAAGCCAAGGTTTTTCTTGGAGACAATCAGTGGATCTTGTGTATCTCCAGTATTTTCCATCATTTTCTCCTTGTGTTGCTGAATGCATGCACATGTAAGCGCATGCCTCACTTGGGATGGTACAGAAAGAGTAAACAGTCACTGACAAAAAAGATTAATCTGTCAGCCTTTGGGCATGAGGCACCAGATACCACATTCTTAAGTATCCAGCAATTCTACCCTTCCTTCTTCCAGCTGTGGCAGATCCACGTTTCATCCTGGAGGAATACTGCTGGCTCAGCTACCTCCGAGGTCATATTGCCAAAACAGATGTGGAATTCATTTATGCTTATCCAATTCCAACTAAAGAGGAGCCAGTCAGCACCTGAGAAACTCCAGTGCACCGTACCTGGGAAATGTTCTTCCCTGACAAGCTCTTCTGTTATGTCAATACAACGCCTCAGGAGAAAACAGTGTGTTCCAGTTTATCACACAGTACCTAGAAAAAGATGGGATGGGAAACAGCATTGACAGGCTACTGCCAGAATTTGCAAGGTTTTAGGGGAGCTTTTTAAATTATCTGTGATCCTGCATTTCTACTCCGCATTAGAGCGTGGACAAAAGCAGCCCAAGTGACACCAGTTTGAAAGCGTGCTAGTTGGGCTGCACTGTCCTTTTCTGTGAATGCACAGAAATCAGAACTCATGAAGAAACTTATCACTCCTACAGCAGCCCGTATTATGAAAGGAAACCCTTCATTTGTACCCTTTCTCATGGCCAATGCCTCAGCAGCAATAGCAAATTCAGTTCATGGCCATACTGCCTCTGCTTATCAGTAAGTGTAACTGCTGTGGCAGCAACCAGACAGCATAGCAAGATAGCCAAAACTTCGAACCACCACAGCTTCTTCATTCTGCCTATGCATTAGGTGCCTTTTGACATCAAATTTAGTCTCTGTTGGAAGGAGAAATACTTTTTACTGCAGTTGTTCTCTGGCTCCTCTCACTACTTTCTGGCCACTGGCACATTCCCATACAGCCACTGAACCTCACAGATTTGTTCAAACTGAAGTGGCAGACATAAACCCATAAAATTTCCTGTGAAATTTTGCTCCCCTAAATGGTTTCTAATGAGGTTTATTTCAACCTTCTCCCCTCACTATCAGCTAACATGGGAAAAACCTGCAGCTCAAGGATGGTCTCTGGTATACTCTTACTCACCCCTTGTTTGGAAACCACATGAAATAATAAAAAGAGATACTAATGTTAGTATTAACAGTCTTCTAGCATTCCCAATTAGTTGCAGTTTGATCTACCAATGCTTCATCAAGTTTCAGCTAATACAACGCAATGGACCCATTATGACTCATAATTTTTTTATAGCATCGGTAGATGTAAGTGCTCATTAAAAATGAGGGCTGCTAACGCTGTCAGATTGGCCTAGCAAGTGCTGCAAAGCGATTCTCCACATAGTTCGTCTAATTGCTTGCACGCTTATTCCCCTTTCACCAGCTTGAGTCTATATCTGTAGGTAAGTATGACAGATTCATCTTCATCCTACAATAGTGAAGAGAAAATTAGATTTTTCCATTAGAAGGACACAACTTCCAAACCATAAAAATATGTCCTTTTGAGGTTTGATGTTCTAGTTCTCCTACATCTTGGAATTCCAACTGGCTTACAAATAGGGATTTTCATTATCAGTTAGGATTTTAATAATAACAACAATGTATACACCTTGAAAACATACTTTCCAATTCTTCTGTTCCTAGATGAGACTCAGGATTCAGAATGAAGGTTGAAATTGTGGCATTATATTGCCAATATTTTTGACTGACCAATTGTACATTTATTAGAGGGTCCAATTTTCAAAAAGTACTGAATACTCATCCTCTGAGATTAATGCCCCTTTTACGTGGCCTAGATGCCCGTAAGTTCAATAGTGACCAGCCAAGGGCGTCTGTGGAACATGAAAAAAACAATCCAGATCTTCTGAAACTGCTGGCGACAGCTTAAATAAGATGGGATTTAAAACAAGTGTTAACTACATGATTTCCAGTAACATTCAGTAAACAGGGTCTTGGCTTTTTAGACTTATTAATCAGTTTATTTTTCTCTTGCAGTTAGTGGCTTTTAAAACAGAGGCTAAATTCTGCTTGTCTTTCACTAGACTTACATCAGAGAGCACAGAAATGGGCCCATTAGGTCTGACCTGTGTTTCAAATGTGCTTCACCAGAGGCTATAAGCAGCAAACTATGAAAAGCATATTCTGTTGAGGACTAAAATGGACTTTCTATTTGGTAAAAAAGCTGTTACTTAAGTGTTTACACACATGTATTATCCATAGAATTATTGCTACTATGTGCAATATAGTATCCTAAAGCACTGCTTTAATACACGGGTTACAAAACAGTGTTATTTTCAGCTAACGCATTAGTACTATTTTTAAAAAATGGCCTGAGTCCTAATTCTCCTTTATATTAGCACACTAACAACTCAGCTGAGGACAGGATGAGAAGCGCAGAGTCGACCACAGGGCACCTCAGACCCGGGACCAGCTGCTGAGGCACCTCCACTTCCACACAGTGAGGCAGGCAGCATGGCACGCTCCACTCCTAACACCAGCAGAAGCAGCTCCAAGACAAAGGCCTACTGACGCCTTTGCGCACACTGGAGCAACGCTCATAAATAAAACACACCGGGGCCTGTTCTCTGGGAGGGCGTGGGACAGCCGCACCTACATCCACAGAGATCAATGTCCCAAGCTTCATCCATAGCTTCCCGGGAACAGCCCCTGGCTCCAGCTACCTCCCACGCCGTGCTGGGGAGCACGATGCCGGGGGGAGAGCAAAACTGTCAGGCAACTGCTAGCAAGGAAATAGCCTGGACAACAGCCTCTCGGGGCCCCTTCATGGTTATGCTTGCTGCTGTAGCCACGGTGAAGGAAGTAACTGGAGTCTACATTGCCTACTTTAGACTTTATAAAATAAAATTAATAATAGCTCAAGAGTCGCATACTCCCTATCCGTGGCACCTACCCTGTGGCTACCTCAATTGGTCCCAGCAGGCAGGGGTCCAGAAGGCAAAGGCCTCTTGTTGAGGACAGCTGGGGCAGAAAGTGTTTCCTTTCTATCCCTCTTAATAAAACCACAACATCCTCACATGTGCTGCAGCAAGGGACTGGGTAAATAGTATACTAACAGCCCTAAGGACTGAGTCAGGTTCACATATTGCTTAAAGTCTAGAGATTAAAAACAACAACAAAACACTGGTTTGTCTTTATTTGCCTTCCAACTGATGAATCATGATTTGTGTCTTCATGCTTGTCTCCACATCTGTAATTTCATCATATCTAGGCGTCCCAGATTTTGTTACAGGTCCTTCACTGACAGCTGGTATCGGGTGGTAGCTGGTGTTTCTTGGTATCAGATATTCAAAGGGAAAAGTGTTTTACTCTTCTCTTTAAAGCTTTAGCTGGGCTGGTAAAATATGTCCATGCCTATGGATGCTCACCATGTCTGCACCAGATATCACCAATGGAGCAGTTTGTGTGAAGTTACTCCAATTCACTTAAAATTAAATCAGCTAAATTAGCTCAAGAAGTTCCTGGTTTTCGCATCAACTCACCTAGCAAATTTTGCCTGGGACAAACTAGAATGCATTCACACAAAATACTCTGTGGGTGGTTCTTTAAAACTGTCATGGTTTAACCCCAACCAGCAACTAAGCCCCACGCAGCCGCTCGCTCACTCCCCCTCCATGAGATGGGGGAGAGAATCAGAAGATTAAAAGTGAGAATACTCGTGGGTTGGGATAAAGACAGTTTAATAAGTAAAGCAAAAGCCTTGCATGCAAGCAAAGCAAACCAAGGAATTCATTCACTACTGCCCATCGGCAGGCAGGTGTTCAGCCATCTCCAGGAAAGCAGGGCTCCATCACACGTAACAGGAAAATTGTTAGGCAAAACCTGCCTACACATTAATGTGCATTTGCATATATTAGGTAGTTAAATTGCAAGAAGGCAGCACACCAATAGTATAAAGCAAAACCATTGCAGATAAAAGTTATACATGCAAAAAAAAAAAAAAAAGCAGCACATTTTTGTTTCTGAATTTCAAGAAACATTGCTTAACTACGCATGAAACTCTGCAGCCTGTTTAGTCAGCTACTGGTTGTCTAGGTCAGCAAGTAAAGCATTTTGCCTCAAACAGAATCCCCCTCAAATTATAGCTGCCCTAAGCAAAACTATTCTTTGCAAGGTACCTGCACCCCCACTCGTATTTCGCTCATGGTCATTCCCTCTGTCTGCTGAATTGCACTTTTAGGCAAACTACAGCCATTTCTATTGCTGCTCCTTGGAATTAGAAATGGAAATAGGTCTAACTGGGAGAATAAAAGGGGATCAGCCTATCTGTATCACCATGTGTTTTCTCAGTCCTGGCTTCGCTTGGGATAGAGTAAATTTTCTTCCTAGTAGCTGGCCTAGTGCTGTGCTTTAGATTTAGTATGAGAAGAATGATGATAACTCACTGATGCTTTAGCTGTTGCTAAGCAGAGCTTACACGAGGCAAGGACTTTTCAGCTTCCCATTCTCTGCCAGGTGCACAAGAAGCTGGGATGAGGCACAGCCAGGACAGCTGACCCCAACTGGCCAAAGGGCTGTTCCAGACCACATGATGTCATGCTCAGTATATAAACTGGGGGGAGTTGGCCAGGGGGCAGCAATTGCTGCTTGGGGACAGGCTGGGCATGGGTCAGCGGGTGGTAA